TTTGAAGTACCTAAGTTATTCAGTATTTTAAATTATGTTCTTTCCTTTATGGTAGGCACTAGGCACATGTGGCTATATAAATTTTTTAAGTTAATTAACATTATGTAAAATTACAAATTAATTTCCTTAGTTGCATTAGCCACATTTTAAGTTCTCAGTGGTCAAATGTCCTAAGAAAACATTTTTATCATTGCATAAGTTTCTTCTAAATATTAAAAGGAATGAACAAGTGACCTGACCATAACTGTAGCATTTTACTATAACAGTATTATTATATCATTTTTAGTTTTTATTTTAACCTATATTCATAGATTAAAATGAAAAGCTCATCCATTTATATAATACAACATAACTAAGTGGCATTTTCTTTGCCCTGTTAAGAAGACCAATTGAATGTAATTGTCCTAATACGATAGTTAAAACATTTCAACCTTTTAAATCAGTTTTATTTAATAAATAAAATTGTATGCTTTGATGACAAATATACTAAAATTTGTGTCATTGCAGTGATTATACAAAAGCAATATTTCTTAAGTTCCCTTTTATAGTAAGAAATACTTTTTTTTTTTTTCCGAGATGGAGTCTGCTCTGTTGCCCAGGCTAGAGTGCAGTGGCGCAATCTTGGCTCACTGCAACCTCTGCCTACCGGGTTCAAGCGATTCTCCTGCATCAACCTCCCAAGTAGCTGGGATTACAGGTGTGTGCCACCACACCTGGCTAATTTTTGTACTTTTAGTAGAGGTGGGATTTCACCATGTTGGCCAGGCTGGTCTCTATCTCCTGACCTCAGGTGATCCACCCGCCTTGGCCTCCCAAAGTGCAGGGATTACAGGCGTGAGCCACCATGCCCAGCCAGAAATACTTATTTTAAGATAAATTTTGAATTGGTTGGAATAAGGCCTACTTCAAATGTTCTTTAGCATCATAAAATTTAAAAAATAATAAATTAAAAGATCCCCCTTATCCCAAGGATATTAAAATAGAGGATTGAGGGGACACGAGGATTAACTAGCAAGGGCACTGTTTTCGTGAGGAAAAATTTATTAATCAATGAAAACTCTGACTGAAAAAATAAAGTGATATGAAAATATTATATGTAAAACAAAGATACTATTGAAAAATGACCTCACTTTTCTCTTTCACATTGTCTGTTTTACTGCTTTGGTGAGATGACACAGCTGCTCAAATTATGTTCCTAAAAGGAGTAGACAATATAAGAGTATAAGCTGGTGAAAGATGAAAGGCAGTGATAAGAAGTTGGGATATTGCCTGGAGGCAGAAGAGAGCCAGAGAGGTTTGGAGTATTTCATATTTAGAAGTACTCTAATTTTTTTTTTTCTTGTTTCAAGTAATTATGCTGATGGGAAAAATCTGTCTGGCTTTACAGATTTGGCTACAGTTTTAGAACAACAAAAAAGCATCTTATCTACTTTAATCATTAGCACTGATGAATATTTTCCGTTATTACCAGCTAATTAAATTACAAGATTAAATGATTGTCATAGAAACGTGGAAAACCGGGTGTGTCACTCTTAGGGACCAAAAAAAAAAAAAAAAAAAAAAAAAAAGACTAAATACAACAGCAAAGACAATGAAGAACAATGAAGAGAAAGGGGGAAGGAGGAGGAAGAGGAACCCAAATTCACTAATATTTGAACATGACCATAGGTATAGAAAGAAAGACTGTGAAGTTGAATCTGAAGTTTTTGTTGAATCAGAAGAACTTTACAAATAGGAATAACTGGTGTATTGGATGATATTAGTGCAGGGTATGATGGTTGCCATTAAAATTGTGGTAATTTTTAATGCAGCAATAGGTGGCTAATACATGGTTATACACATATATCAAAGACTAGCAAATTTACACTTTGAACGTGGGCAATTAGTTGTACTTCAATTATCCTTTAATAGAGTGGTAAAAATATAAAAAACAAAGTATTTAAAGGGATTTAAAAAATAAAATAGAAATTCTAGAAGCAAGGAATATAATAACTAGGACCCAGAACTCAATAGATGTGCTTAAGAACACATTAGATACAGACTAAAGGAGAATAAGCAAAATTGAAAATAGATTAGAAGATAATATCTAGACTAAAGCATGGAGACAAAAAAAAAATGGGGAAAAAAGTACAGTTAAGACCTATGAAACACATTGAATATGACCAGCGTACTTGCCAGTGGTTCTCAGAAGTAGAAGATAAAGAGATTTGGAAATAATTAAATCATCAAATCTTAATGGCCAAAAGAATCCCTAAAGGGGAAAGTTTAAGTCAAGATTCAGGAAGTCTTAGAAAGACTAAGTAATATAAATACAAAGAAAACTGCAGCTAAACATATCATAGTAAAACCAAAGACAAATATAATGCAATAATATAAAGCAATAAAAGTGAAATAAAGACTGCTATACAAAGCAATATGGATGAATCTCACATACACTCACAAAATTTAGACCAAATAAGTCTGGTACACAAAGTACATGGTTAGTTTTCAGTTATCTTATTAATATACAGTAAGAAAAGAAAAATTTTAAAAAGCAATACATGGAGTTGGAAGTAACCAGTGTGGTCGTCTGTGGTGAGGAGAGTTGGCCATGATGGGGACATGCTTCTAGCAGGGTTTGTGGGTTGTTAGTAATATGAAAAACGCTTGATCTGAGTAATGGTGATATGACGATGTTTACTTTGTGATATTTCAGCAAGTGTATATTCATTGTTTAACAATATTTAAACATGTATTTTAAGCTTCAATAAAACTGTATTAAAATCATTGAATGGTCTGTACCATCAGTCACACATAAAATGGCCATTAAATATGTTTTTAGCCTTCTCTTGGATAGACTACAATCTGTGATAGGAATATAAACTGATAAGAGAAAAGCAGTCAAAATTTAGATCTGTAGCATGTTCATTGTGCTTTACTACTTTTAGATACTCTTTACATCACAGGCAGTTAATTTACACTTTTATTTATTCTATTTAAGTTTATAATACTAGGGATATTCTTCAAATATTTTACCTTTAAGACTTTGTCAGTTCTATGCATCGACAAGTGAACGTTGAAAAGTGGGTAGGGAGGGAGCACTACACAGCACTACTAGACAAATATTGGCAGTTGTCAACGTCAAGCCATGCAGCACAGTTTTATAACCAGAAAAAAACATTTCCTGCTACTTTGGTTTTAAAATTTTGTTATTGTTGCAAATTAATAAATCTACTTTTATTCTCAAACTTTTGGGTTTTTGTTTTGTTTTGTTTTTTGAGATAGGGTCTTGCTCTGTTACCCAGCTGGTCTCAAATTTCTGATTTCAAGTGGTGCCTCTTGCCTCAGTCTCCCAAATAGTTGAGACTACAGGCACGTTCCACCATGCCCAGCATAAAATTTGTGTTATAATTTCTAATAAATCAATGTAGTAATCTCTATAAACACTTAAAATAAATTAGTTAAATTTATTTAAATATTTTACATTGCATTTGCAACTTTACTAGGTTGTTTTCTCTTCAAGCATTTTAAAAGCCAAAAATGAAAGCAAAAAAGTCTTCGCAAGTATTTAAATCATTACAAAGTCAAATAATCAAAATCATGTATTTGTAGAAATTTAATTTTTCCTATACATACTATTCGTGTTTACAAACCAAAATTTTCCTATACCTTTTAACTTAAGCATATAGCTAAAATTAAATATTAAGCTATACATTTAAAGGCCTAATTTCTAGATTATATAACATGCTAAATGCTTTCATGTATTATAAAAACTCACACATGGTTTCTTAGTCTGTTCTGGCTGCTATAACAAAAATACCATACACTGGGTGGCTTATAAACAACAGAAATTTATTTCTCACAGTTCTGAAGACTGGAAGTCCCAGATCAAGGCACTGGCAGATTTGGTGTCTGGTGTGGGCTCACTTTCATAGATGGCTTCCTTTTCCTCTATCGCCTCACAGGGTGGAAAGGGCAAAAAATTATTCTGTGGTCTGTTTTGTAAGGATTCTAATGCCAATCATGAGGGCTGTACCCTCGTGACCTAATAAGAGGCTCCACCTCCAAATACCATCACATTGGGGATTAGGTTTCAACATCTGAATTTTGGAGGAACACAAACATTTAGTCACACACAGAATTTTTCTAAACTTAACATAAAAATGTTAATGCTTCATGATTTCTGATTAATGTTATGCTTAAGCTACCCACTGTTTTAGTCAGGGATCTCCAGAGAGACTGAATGAGAGCGGAATATAGACATCGACACAGATATAGATAAAGATATGAATATAAATATATGACAGGAGGTTCATTAGAGGAATTGGCTCACTGGTTATGGAAGCTGAGAAGACTCAAGATAGGTTGTCTGCAAGCTGGAGAACCAGGGAGGTCAGTAGCGCGTGGTTCAGTCCAAATCTAGAGGCCTCAAAACCCAGGAAGCTATGGTGTAACTCTCAGTCTGAAGACAAAGGTACGAGAACCCAGGGAGTTGTCAGCACAAGTCCCAGAGTCCAAAGGGCAGAGGCCCTGGGCTTTTGATGTCTAAGGGCAGAAGAAGGGCATCCCAGCTCCAGAAGAAAAAGTGAATTCACCTTTCCTCTGCCATTTTCTTCTGCCCAGGCCTCCAGGTAATTTGATGGCACACATCTACATTGAGGGTGGATCCTCTCTCAGTCCACCGACTCATACTCCAATTTCTGGAAGCACTCTCACAGACACACCCAGAAATAATGTTTTACTAGTCACCTTGGCAGCCCTCATGCCAGTCAAGATGGCACCTAAAATTCACCACACTCACTAAGATGATGATTTTGCTATTCAAAATAATTTTTGTTTATCTCTTCAGGTAGTTGAGTTTGCGTATCAGAGATTTTGTGGGTTGTAAGAAATAGAACTGCAGACCTCAAGGACAAATTTTCTTACAATTTAAATAGTCATAGCCAGCCTTTTAGAATCTCTACGCCAATAGGGACCCCAAATGGGCTAGTTTCATAACCTAAATTCCCTGAGTGACTTACGTTTTCCTTTTGTCTTCTTTCAGCTGTATTACTTGATTGAAGTCCGTGAAATTCTAATACCCAGATACAGGTGGCTTCATCACCTGATTGGATTCTACTAATCTGTTCACTGCTTGAATCTGTTATTAATTCATTTACATATTCATTTCTGACAGAGCCAAATCAGAGATATGTGAATGACATTTCATCCTGCGTGGCAGACATGCCCCTTGTCCTGCTTTGCTGTCGCAGGTCAACATAAGAGCAAGCCTGTGTTTTAATGAGCCTTTGAAGGTGACTGCTGTCACAGCTTTCTATCTTAGGAACATTGTCTTTGTAGCAACACTCCGGGACTTACCCATTCTTGGCTCCTGGCCATGTCTGGTAGAATTGGAGACTCACAACCAAGTTTGTGCCACCCTCTAGTGGCAGTTTTGTGTAAATCAGAGAAGTTTAGTTACAAGTGAATTTTTACAGAACACTAACTGGAAAAAATATCCAAGTTGATGAAGTCTATATACATGGAATTTAATTTTATCTTTGAAACACACTTACTTAAAAAATGCACATACTACAAAAATGTCTTTACGTACCTATAAAATTCTAGCAATAGCAATGGCAATTTGGAGTCATACCAGCAATTACTTGAAAGGAAAGACTATATGCTTGGGTAGCTGGTATGAATGTCACAGTGATAAACTTAAGTGCTCAAGACTCATAATTAAATTTCTGACCCTTAATTCTGTTTCACTGATACATCACTCTGATACTTAATTAAATCAATTCCACATATCAAATTTCTGTTTCGATCATCAAAACCCAAAGTTGACCACCAAAGCTTTAAAACAAATAATGTTCTAGAATTTTTACGTCAATTTGTTGACTAATATACAATATTTTTAGTAGCATAGAAAGATATTCAATGTTTTAACATGAGGTAAAAAACATTACTGGTAGTAAAAGAATGAGAATGACAAATAGAACACAATCAGAACTTTCTATTGTTGACAAAAATGCAGTTGTTTATTAATAACTATAAGCAGAAGATCAAAACAATAGAAGTTTGGGGTTTGTTTTTCTCTTAGGCATTATGTGCGCTCCTTAATTAAGAAAGGAATACCTCCAGGATCTGATTTACCTTCTGTCAGTGAAACTGATGAAACTGCAATGCATAGCCAGACGGACTTGAGTCAAATAGCAAAAGCTACATCTCAGGTAACTATGTTACTCTTACTATTGGCCCAACTCTTAATGATACAAGACTTTTTCCTTATATTGTGAAAACATAGTATACATACAAAATAATGTATAATATGGATCTGAACAGTATAAAGAATAGTGTTAAAATAAATATCTTATGTATCCATCACCTAGGTTAGAAAATGGAATAATCATCTGCTATAGAAGTCCCCTGTGTGTTTCTTCTTGGTTGTATTTTCTGTCTGCCACTCAGATTTTGCTAATAAACAACTTCATACTTTTCTCATTTTGCCAATTATAACTTAACATCTTGTTTGTAAGATTCCTCCCTTTTGTTTTATGTCTGGTTCATTTCACTAACCAATGGCATTTATCGTATAAAATTATGCTACAGATGGTTTTTAATCTATCACAGTGTTAGTGGCTATATTAGTTGCTTCTTGTTTCTTACTATTGTAAGCAATAGTATCATGATTTTTCTCAAATGTCCCTTGATATGTCCTCTAGAAACAGGTACAAGAGTGTCTTCGGTTTCAGGGTTCATAACCCTTTATGTGTGATGACTCCCCTTAACAATTTTTTTAAAACTCTAGCACATTGAAAACAACTCATCTTTTTCTCCATGTTAATTAACCGAGAATTGTTGATAAGGAACATAATTAACACTGAGAGAACATACAACTTCACTATTTGGTGGTTGAATGACTACTAAGCATAGTTGCTCTAATTGCCTATCTATATAGGTCACAGGAGTATCCGGAGACGAGGAGATAGGACCACATGAAATACAGCAGTAGGTCTAAAACCTGCTGTAATTTCAAAGTGCTAATCAGCTTACATATTCTTGTAAGATATTTGCAACAACTATAATATAATGTAAAATATTGTGACATTTTGTGGATAGGGTCACAGTTATTGCTCTCAACATTGTGACTGCTTGCCTGTATTGACAAATTGATAATTGAAAAACAAATGCTGAATGTCAGTCAAACATGTAATGTCTTTCTAACCATCCACATTAATGGATTCATGAAATTTAACTATGAGCTTCATTGTAGATCAGATTAGGAAACCCTGTTCTAGGATATGAATCTAGCAGTCTAGTTAATAGGACATTCATTCATCTGCTTGACCCTACGATAAAATGCCAAACCTTTTTCCGAATGGGTGTAGTAATACCCACGCCTGTCAGTACCAAGAGTTTTCTTTATGACAGCATTTGGTAATGTATGATATTTGCTAAAGTGGTGGCTATAAAATGGTATTTTGTTTTTTATTAGAAATGCATAATTTTTTGACATATTAACCCATATATGCCTGAGGTTGCAATTTTTCGAATTTGAAAAATCAGACCTTGGCAATGACCTTGAGCAGCAGGATGTTTAGCTTTCCAATGCAAAACAAATGTAAAGAAATCTTGCTTCCATTTATGTACCTCTCCATCCCATTTTCACCATTCTGCCCTCCATAGGAAACTTTCAGGAATTTTTTTTTTTTTTTTTAAACGGAGTTTCCATCGCAGTGGTGCGATCTCGGCTCACTGCAAGCTCCGCCCCCCGGGTTCACGCCATTCATTCTCCTGCCTCAGCCTCCGGAGTAGCTGGGACTACAGGCACCGCCAGCACGCCCGGCTAATTTTTTGTATTTTTAGTAGAGACGGAGTTTCACCGTGTTAGCCAGGATGGTCTCGATCTCCTGACCTCGTGATCCGCCCGCCTCAGCTTCCCAAAGTGCTGGAATTACAGGCGTGCGCCTCCGTGCCCGGCCGAGGATTTTTTAATGTAAATGCAAAGAAACATACACACAGTATTTCACAAATTCCTTTTTTTTTTCCACTCAAAATTCAATAATCTTAAAACAATACTTAATATATGCTGGAGATATTTCAGTCTATACCTAAAGAGTATCTTCATTCTGAAAGCTTCATAATTTTTTATTATGTAAATTAACCATAGTTTATTTCTATCAATTTGTATAGATGGAATCTTGGGTTGATTTTACTCTTTTGCTATTGTAAATAATACTGCTATGAATGAATTTGTACATGTAGTGGGATTGTTTGGTCAACAAATAAAATTCTATTAGAATTTTAAAATAATTATTGCTAAATATACATGATAAGATTACACCCAGGTTGTATGAATGTTTCCTTATAGCCACATGGAGTGTGTAGAAGTTTTATAAAAATTTTGCCAATCAGATTGGTAAGAAAAAGTAGTTCATTTTGCTTTTCCATTGAATTGATTGTTATTGTCACTGAACATCTTTGTATACATTTACTGCTATTTCTGTTTGTGCTACTGTGCAATGCCTGCTTATATCTTTTGCTTAATTTCCGTTTGGGTTGTATTCCTGTTTAACCAAGTCATAGATATTCTTTGTGAAATACGGAGACTTATTCTTTATTAGCTATGTATTTCGTATGTTCTAAGTTTATCTTTTCAATCTTATTTATGTCTTTTTAAAATTTATTTTTAATTGATAAAAAATTTTATATATATATTTAGTAGTAGGAGATAACATGCAAACTGTGAATCTAAAAAAAAAAAAAGAGAATAAAAAGAGAAAAAAAAAAAAAAAAAAAAAAAAAAAAAAAAAAAAAAAAAAAAAAAAAAAAATTTATACATTTATAGTGTAAAACATGATGTTTTGAAATATATATATAGCTGAATAACTAAATTGAGCTGATTAATATATGTATTACTTCACGTTCCTCTCATTTTTTGTTGTGAGAACACTAAAATCTTCTGTCTTAGCAATTTTCAAGAATACATTAACCATAGGCCCCATGTTGTAAACTGGATCTCTTGAATTTATCTCTACTAACTGAAACTTTGTATCCTTTGACCAGCATTTTCCCAATCACCCACACCCAGCCCCTGGTAACTACCATTCTACTGTCCACTTCTTTGAGTTCAGCTGTGTTAGATTCCACATGTAAGTGAGATTATGTGGTATCTATTTTTCTGTGTCTGGTTTATTTAACTTCACATAACGTCCTCCAGGTTTATCCTAGTTATTGCAAATGATAAAGTTTCTTTTTAAAGGCTGAATAGCATTCTATTTTTTATATATACCATATTTTCCTTATTCATTCATCCGTGGATGGACAATTTGTTTGATTTCATATTTTGGCTTTGTGAATAACGCTATAATGAAGATGGGAAGGCAGGTATCTCTTTGCTTTTTGACACACTAATTTCATTTCCTTTGGATACACACTCAGAAGTGGGATTGCTGGATCATATGATTGCCCTATTTTAGGTTTTTTTTTTCAACCTCCATACTGTTTTATACAGTGACTACACCATTCTACCTTCTCACCAGCAATATACAAGGTTTCCCTTATTTCCACATTCTTGCTAACACTTACCTTTTGTCTTCTCGATAACAGCCATTTTAACAGGTGTGAAGTGATAGCTTATTGTGGTCTTAATTTATGTTCCTCAATGATTAGTTATGTTGAGCATTTTTTTAAAACATGTATGTTGGCCATTTATATGTCTTCTCCTGAGAAATGCCTATTCAGATTCTTTGCTTATTTTTCAGTTGGGTTGTTTCCTTGTTGATGGGTTGTTTGAGTTCCTTATATGTTTTGAATATTAACCTCTTATCAGATGTATGATTTACAAATATTTTCTCCCATTCTATAGATTGTCTCCTTATAATTGTTTCCTTTGCTATGCAAAAAGAAACATTTTAGTTTGATATAATTCCTTTTGTCTGTTTGCGATTGTTGCCTGTGCTTTAGGGACTAAAACTTGTTGCCCAGGCCAAGATCTTGGAGCTTATCCCTTGTGTTTTCTTCTAGTAGTTTCATGCATTCAGCATACATTCAGGTCTTACAATTAAGTTCTTAATCCATTTTGAGTTAATTTTTGTATATGGTATGAGGTGACTTTCTTCTTTTGTAAATGGATATCCTAACATCATTTACTGAAGAGACTCTCCTTTCTTCCATTGTGTGTTCTTGTCAATCTTTTTTGACCATAATAGCTTGAATTTATTTTTGACTCTCTACTCTGTTCCACTGGTCTATTTATTTTGAAGTCAGCTAGTGCAGTGTCTCCCGCTTTGTTCTTTTGCTTTGGCTATTTT